CCATACAGACCACGGCCCAGGCGCGCAGCCAGACAGACCACGGCCCAGGAACGCAGCCATACAGACCACGGCCCAGGCGCGCAGCCAGACAGACCACGGCCCAGGAACGCAGCCATACAGACCACGGCCCAGGCGCGCAGCCAGACAGACCACGGCCCAGGAACGCAGCCAGACAGACCACGGCCCAGGCGTGCAGCCATACAGACCACGGCCCAGGCGCGCAGCCATACAGACCACGGCCCAGGCGCGCAGCCAGACAGACCACGGCCCAGGAACACAGCCAGACAGACCACGGCCCAGGCGTGCAGCCAGACAGACCACGGCATGGCTTATTCCTGACTGCGAAACGGAGACGCATCCACAGCCCAGTCAGATTAAAACAAACAAAGATACACAAGGTGCGCTAAACACAAAGCGAGTGCCTGAGCTACTGACAGCTAATGGCTAACGGCTAATGGGAGTCGGTGACATAGGACTCCTTTATCTGACGTCGCTACCGGCTCTGAAACTGACTGCTGTCACCCTGTGACGGGGGGGCTGTTAAAGGAACGTGTTTTTAAACACTCCCAGTCTGTGTTGCTGCCTGTCAACGCGACAGAAGAAGCATCTGCTAATGGGGTATTTTTGGAGTTTAGTTCTGGAACGTTCCATTGGGGTGGGGCCTGTAAAAAGATTCCAGAAGGATCTCCGGCTCCCTGTCCTTTTCCTTCCGGTGCTGTGAATGCTGAGGCTGTTCAGAGCATGAGGGGCTCCTTCCCATTGGCCCCCGTCCTGTCGGAGGCCCCCGCAGGGCGGGGCTTCCTCTCCCAGCCCTGCCGTATCCGCATCAGGATCCGGTCCACGCAGGGCGTGACCAGCAGCAGCTTGAGGCCCAGGACCACGCAGGGCAGCACCAGCGCCACCATGTAGGCCGGGGGCAGGTGCCACCTGTAGGTCTGGGCTCTCAGGAACCGCTTCCAGCCGTACAGGATGGTGTGGGACGTGCATAGCAGGAGGGTCAGGTGACCCAGCTTGGACTGCGGGGGGGAGAGAAGGACAGGCTGAAGGCAGCTTCAGACAATGGGGGGGGAGACTCAAATTTTTCTCCATCTGTCACTCGTTTCATGAGCCATTACGCCTTTTATCTCCATGACGGCCATTTTCATCTCCCATCTCGCTCGTTCCACTGACCATGCAGAATAACACTGGTGACCTGGATTCAGTCGGGGGCCCAGTGTTCCTTTGCTCGGACTAATCTGCGTATTTCAAGTGAAGTTCATGAATATCTTAACATTTAAGTGTGGAACATTTAGACCATTTGGACACAACAGTGTTTGACATTTTGTCTTGCAGAATAGGAACTGAATTGAGTGGCAGGACGTCTGTGACTCAGTGCCACCACTCGGGGACCGTCGTCCCCTGCCGCCCGCTTTTAGCTCATAAAGAAATGTTTATTTTTAGCAGTCTCTCCCATCTCATGTTGTTTTCCGTTTCCCTGGTGCGGCAGTTTGCAAACATGTGTAGAGCTAGTAGGTGTAGAGCTGCTGTGGCCGACTGTCTGACTGCACTTCAAGGTGCCTGTGTCTGAAAATGTGTGCTGATTGGTGGGCTGGGCAGGGCAGGCCCTCCCACTGGCTGCCCACAGCTGTCTGACTGACCAATGGGGCCACTTCTCTGTAGACACCTGAGAATTCCAGCCCATTTTTCCCTAACCTTTCCTCTAGAACTGCTGGGGCCCCCTCTGTCAAAATAAAGTAACATCTCATCATCCTTCTCATGCTGGGCTACCTGCTGTTGGGTGGGGGGGGGTTCAGTTTAGCAGGGGCTGAGCCACACAGGGAGAGAGAAGCTTCAATCATCAATGAAAGAAAAGGCTTTGCCAATCCACGGGCTTTGTGACGTGTGTGAATAGCACAGGAGTCTGCCGGCGTGTTCTCCGTACCTGCACAAACCGGAACTCTCGCCAGTTCATGGCGTTACTGACAGAAGGAAGGGAGGTGATTCCCAGCAGGATGAACAATCCGAATCCCAGGACGCCGAGTGACATGTAGGAGTCTGTGTACCAGGCCACCGTGTTGTCAAACTCACTTTGGTTCTCTTTCATCTGAGAAACAAGAGAAATTCTGAGTCGGGTGCGGAATCCGCACCCCCCACCCCCCAGGGTGCAGAATATAAGCGACCGATTACACAGAATGACGCCACTAAGATGTTCTTATCAAACTCCAAAGTGACAGGTGACAGATGCAGGAGAGATCCGACATGCCATCTGACACCTGTTCAGTCAGTAAACATATCTGGGTATAATTTAGTAGAACACTGGCTGCCGTTTTGTCTTTTATATGTGTCTCGTACTTCTGACACTGATCCATGTACCGTACGCCATTCCAAGCTCCGTGATAATGGGTGGTCCAGCTCACCTGGGAGATGGTCCAGGAGACCACCTTGTACCTGACGTAGTACCTGATGGGAACGATCATTATGTAGAGGACGTGCAGGAAGCCGAACGCCAAAGCCAGGAGACCCATCTGTTTCCTGCAGAGCATCCAGCGGTCCAGCCAGTCGGGGAATCGCTTGTACTTGGTCCCGTTGTAGAGCTGCAGGAAGCCAGCGAGGATCCCGGGCAGGTAGCACAGAGACAGCATCATCAACGACACCATGGGGAACACCTTGTTGGCCAGAGACACCATGATCCTGAAGGACATGTCCTTCTTGCTGGTGACCCAGGAGTAGATCACGTCCATGAGGAGGCAGTAGGCAAAGAGGGAGGCAGTGAGGCCCACGGCCACGGCTGCAGGCAGCCTCCACATGGGGAAAAGCTGCAGGGGATAATCCTCGATCTCGCCGGCTGCCAGCAAGGAGCCTTTGTCCAGGGCGGTGAAGCCCAGGCTGCGTGCAACGTCCACCACCCTCTGTTTGGACTCAGTGCTGTCCCCGCAGACTAACACCTGGCGGGTGGGAACACACATCTGTGAAAACACATCTGTGGTGCAGACCTCCTAGCAGCGCTGCCGTGGGGGGAGGGGGGGTGGGCACCACAGGCATGCAGCAGGTGGTCTTAGAGCAGTGCTTCTCAATCCTGTTCCTGGCTCCCCTCCCTCCACAATGTTTTCATTCCCACCCACACTGCATTCAACCTGCCACATTCATTATTAGTCTATTAAGGACCATCTGAGCCTGATTAAGGTGGGGATGGAATGAAAACATTCTGGCAGGGGGGGCGGGGGTCCTCCGGGACCAGGGTTGAGAAGCACTGCCTTAGAGGACAGGGTCCAGGACTGGTATTGCCTGGGATGCTTAAAGCCTGCAAAGTGGGTTTCTGACACACGACGGCGTCGAGCATCACTTCATGCAGCATATGTATAGTTGCTAAAACTTGAAACGAGATTGAATTCCACAATGACTCTGATGGAGGGCTGGTCTGGGATAAAAAATCGCCCCCCCCTAGCCATCGTCCCCCTTTTGATGAGCGGGAGGGAGGTCCTCCACGATGAATTTTACCATACTTTTGGTGGGTGAGAGGCCACGTGTCACGTTCGGTCTGTCTGAGCACGACGCCCCGGATGTGACGCCTCTAAGAGCAGTGCGATCAGAGTGTGTGCTTTGGGCCTTGTGTTACTGTACCACTGCTGCGAGAAGCAAGACATGTAGACATATTCTTGGTTGATGCTCTGACATGGCCGGGTGAATTCTCCTATTTAAGTCTGAATTTAAGGACATACCTCCACCCCCAACCGCCCCCCCTTTTTCTTTCAGGGAGGGGGGGGGGGGCTTTTCTGTTGTCTCTCTAGCAGAATGGGGTCACCCTGACATGACACGCAGGAGACAGCGAGGGGGGGGGGGGGGGGGGGGGGGGGGGGGGGCAGTTTCCACTTCAGTAACAGCCGGAATCAGCCCATGTGACATGCAGCCACCCACCACGAGTTTTATGCAGGATGACATTCCAAGATGGTGCTGCTTTCACATTATCAGTCTCCGTCCTCTACGCTGAAAATTTACAGACACCATCATGGTGAAGTAGCTCGGCAAGTCAGCGTTTTAGCCCCCCCCCCCGAAACAGAGAAGGACCCCCCTACCTGTCGGTTAGCATCCAGGCCCCCCGATTGCAGTGACCATGCAGAGACGGTGTTGAAAGCTTTCACCACAGAAGCTTCCGGAACGAGCTTGCTAAGGTAGTGAGCGTTGGGCTCCGGGTACTGGTTCCGCCTCAGGTTGTTGCTGACGTCCACCAGCACCTTCCCAGCCAGCCTGTCCGCCAGCGGTACCAGGAAGTCGTAATTATCCCTGTGCACGGCCAGGAAGATGACCTGTGCGACTCCGGCGGCTTCAGCGTGGCCCAGAACCTGGGCCCCCTGGGGCAACAGGCTGGATCTCTGGGGCTTCCGGCTGCCGAAGACCACCTGGTAGCCGGCCTGAAGCAGCCGCAGGCCCAGGGTGCGGCCGAAGTCGCCCGTGCCGAAGATGCCCACCGTGCCGAGCCCGTGGTCGGCGTCTGTAGTCACGGGGGTCATGGCGATCGACAGAGCGGGAGAGGAGCCGTCTGGGGTGGGCATCCCTGCCGACAAACAGCCCAAGATACTTTGCTTTGATTAACCCGGTCAGCAAGCTCACCAGTTAGAGAAGGCAGGAAATAGCTGGGAGACATGAAGAGTTATACACTGACTCACTCACAAGTCTGTCTGTGGGGAAGTTTCTGAGTACGACCCACCCCATCAGGCTGTAGGAGGGGCCACATCTGGCCTGGGAAATTTCTTGTTGGGTGGGGCCACGGAAAAATCCAGCCAGTAATGATAAGACAAACAAACCTTTCCCGATCAGCGTGTCAGGCTGGGAAATGACAGGTTATTGCGACACAGTGGAATGTCGGCTTTGGCGTAAGCGAGCCGTGCGGGAGCTGGCAGCTGCAGTTCGCCGTGCGTTTGGAGAGCCGCGCTGTGCCTCGCATGCGGCACGCAGACGCTGCCCCCTTCAGGCCGTGGGACCCTTAAACACGCTCTGGACAGCCCTCTCTGGGATAGCGGCCGAGGCAGTGACCTCACCGCCAGCTATCTGTCCCGTGCCAGCAGTCCTGAAATCACGGCGTCACGAAGCTGCTTTTAATGACGGCTTCTGTGGCTTTGACACTAAACGACGGGGATTTACTTTGGCATAGTAATATTTTAACAGAATGTCTGCCTCCCTGCCGCTTCTCAATGCCCCCCCCCCGTGCTTTTTCTGGGAACACTGAGTTTCCACGGCGAAGCTGTGCAGCACAAATACGCACACACACACACACACACAAACACAGGTTTGTAATCATATCTTTGTGGGGACTCTCCATTCTTTTCTATGGGGATAACGCTAATCCCAACATGATGACCTTAACCCCTACCCAGCCCTAACCTTAACCATAAGTAACCAAGCTAAATACGAGACTTTTGGCATTTAAAGTTATTTGATTGCATTCTCGGAATGTTATAAAATTGAGGTTATCCAAATGGGGACCTGAAAAATGTCCCCAAAAGCAAGGAAGTTTCAGGTTTTACCACATCTGTGATCTCTGCAAACACACACACACACACATATAGACACACACACACACACACACACGGCTCAAATCAGGCCTTGTGACCTATGCTACCTTAAAGGGCCAGCGCCAATTTTATTACAGGGTCCCATATGTGTGTTGTGGGGTATGGGAATGATTGCTTTTGTGTGTTTCTCCACAGAGGGCTGACAGGAGGGGGTGACTTCATTGCAGCAGACGGGTGGGAAGCACTACTGCCTCAGTGACATGTCCCCATGTCTCAGTGCATGCTTGGTACGGGTACACTCACCTCATCTGCACGCCTCAGCACCTCTGCTAACACGGCCTCTCCAAAGTCCTTTCTACAAGATCAAAGAAGTGGATTCCATGCAAATTACTGGACTTGACAGCAGTTGATGTTACTCGGTATAACTAGAGGAAAGCCAGAGACCGTTTCAGGGGTATGGGAATGGGCTCCCACAGACTCTTGGAGAGTGAAGCCCACCAGCTTTGGCTGTTGTGTCTTGTCGCAGGAGGGGACTGACAAGATGGGCCCTAAATCTATGAGCTGACCTGATGTTCCGGGTTGTTCCTGTCACCTTCTTATAGCTTTCCTGCAGACTTTACGCCAAAAGGGTCCCAACAGGCCAAAGCAAAGTATGGCCGTGTCTGCGAGGCTGCGATCGCATGGTCAGCGACCAAGTCCATCTAGACCAAGACATGGATGACATGACAAAATAGGCTGCCTTGAAAAATGGTTTCTGATTGTCCTTGACACCTGGTCACATGACCCTCCTTGGCCCCATATGAGAAGCTTGACACGTCGTGGAGAGTGAATGCATGAATGAAACTGCTGGGGTAGTTTGATGGGGTGAGGGGTCTCTGGAGGGGGTCTCTGGAGGGGGTCTCTGGAGGGGGTCTCTGGAGGGGTCTCTGGAGGGGGTCTCTGGAGGGGTCTCTGGAGGGGGTCTCTGGAGGGGGTCTCTGGAGGGGGTCTCTGGTGCTCTCAGCAAACTCATCTACTGAGGTACCAGGCCTGTGAACTATTGTCTGAATTGTAACGCCTTAACATTTTCTCAAGCTGCAAAAGTGAGACTTTTGAAGAAATATACTGCATCTGTTACAGTCCCGTATAGATATACGTCACCATCTGTCATTTAAAATATGTCCATTAAGCAACAGCCTGTTTACTGGGGCGAAATCCAGCAATTGGCAAAAACTCTTCTGTGTGTGTCCTTCAGGATAACATGGCTTCTAAAAATGAGCTTCCCTTCAGCGATGCTAATCACCTGATGGTTATCATAGTACAAATATTGTTTAAAAGGAAGTCCGGGAACTGTCTGTGGATAGTCCAGCTCGCCCAGTGAGATCACATGTTATATTTTGAAATTTGAGGACTTTCCATCAGTGTAGGCCAGCACAACATGACATTTTGAATTGTGAAATATTTGGAATTTCCAAGACCCAGAACATTTTGTTCTTTTTAAAATACATGACTACCAGACGACTGGCCAACCCAGAAGTGTCACGTCCCAAACGGCACCGTGCCTTCAGTCTCCCATGGGGCCCGTGGCTCGCGTGCCGTTCTCCACCTCGCTTTGCTAATACGATGGATGTGGTAATGTCTTGCATATTCTTTGAAAGGTCTTTACTGGAATCTCTATGCCTGACCATCTCCAAAACAGGTTTCTTATTCAGCCCAGTGAAGGACCCTGAAGATCTTATATGCTGAAGGAGGCCATCACTGTCATCTGCTAAGCACTCTTGGGTATTTCTTTATTGTACAAGTGGACGTTTTTCAAAAGGTCAGCCCAAAATAAAGCATCACGTCTCGGTAAGCCACTGCAAAAACCTTGAATTATCACAAGGCGTATTTTTTACCTTTAGAAAAAATCTCCTGAAGAATATTTAAAGCTAGATGTTCCATTCCTCTATGTAAGGGTTAATGCATGACTGGAATTTTAAGTAACATTAGTTCAAATTAAAAATTCTAATAGTGATTACTACTGTGATTCACCTGACTGGCACTATGTGTGCAGTTATAGGAGACTAATCAACACCCTTCAGAAGAAGCAGATTGGAGAATTCAGCAGCACCGTGGTATAAATGAGTGTAACGGCCCTTTAAGCCCTGGTCTGAACACGTTATGCAAACAGATAAACCATTTGAGAGATACCTTTCAAACTCCTTTGAGACAATATGTAGGAGATATATTTTAATTATCATAATTATTTAAATGAACTGGAAACCATCTATTTACATGAACTTTTTGTGTTTTTGGTTAGGGATATATTTGTGTGTGCATGTGTGTATGTGCGTGTGTGTGGATTAGGTTTATATTACATTGTGGGGACCAAATGTATTTGATATTGTATACATTGTATCATATTACATGTATTTCATATTATATACATTGTATCGTATTACACGTATATGATATTATATACACGAGTTATTTCTCAACCAAACATAGCCGGAGCAACAAGCAAAGACTGCTGTACAACGGTCCTGTTGACAGTGGGTCCCAAGTTTCATTCTCCTTGGAGGCCAGACCGCGGACATCAATAGAGAGAGATCAGGAGAACAAGGAATTTGGACATGGGACATACATACAGGCGTGGGCCTACAGGGGCGCTGGTCCCAGCTGAAAGCCCATTGGCTCCCAGAGTGCCTAATGTGACCAGCGAACCCATATCAGGAGAGACACTCTCAGCTACTTCAGGTTATACAAACTACTTTAAGATTGACAAGCTCTCATTCTGGGTTAAATTGTTTGGTTCATCTTGTAATTTTACTGGTTTGTTTCCTTGATTGAAAGACTCATCCAGCTGTTTCACATTAACATTAGTGACACATGCATGATTATAGGAGACTGACCAATCAGCACACAGCAACTCAGCACTCAGCGTTTAAGTTAAATCAATGTCCTTTTTGATTGAATTGGTTGAAACAGTAGTTTACAAACCCCCATCTTAGCAGATAGTGTCCCTCCTGACATGGATTAGCTGGTCACTCTGAGAGTGCCCCCTCCCCTGTCACTCAGCAAATCAAAAGATATCCTTAGCTAATCATAGGATTGGTCCCTCTGTATGAATTACGGACCTTCTGCAGAAGTACATTTAATGACAGATATTTGGATGAAAGCAGCTGCATTCCACATAACTTGGTGATTAGCCAAAGTGTGGTTTACGCAAAGAAACCTATCTCACCTCAACCACCCAGCGCTTTGCATTTTCCTTCGAGACCATAAAGGTTACCATTTTCAGAACTGGAAACACTGACTTAAATGAAATCCTTATCAAAAGAAATAAAACTGTAAATGTGATAAACAGGATTTTCTGTAAAGTGTGTGTTTCTTTTCTCCTCCTGGTACCTATCTCTGAATTCCTCTTAGTAACTGAGTGAATATGTGTGTGCTTATATGTACTTTGTTGGAACAGGAAAAGAAAATGCCCCCCCTCTGTCCAGTCCAGGCCTTGAAAGAGCTTCACAGACACATGGAAGAGATGCTGGTCTCCACTCATGATTTCCTGCTTTGTTTAAGTCTGACATCCAGCCATTATCCCGGAAAAAAATTAGAAGACCTGTGGGCTGCTAGAACTCCTCCGTCTGGGTCAGGATTCCTTCAGCCGGACACGGCCCTGGTCACCGGGCCTCGGTCCCCATGTTACTCTCACTTCTGCTCCCTGGCCGAGGCTTCACGAAAGAGCAGATTCCTTTAGCCTCTAAGCCAGCAGGGAATAGCAGGTGTCATCAAGCAGAGCCACGCCGCAGTGCGACGTGGGGTGGAACTGACATAGGGGACAAATCTCTGTGGTTAGACGAGAACGGCGAGTTCGGGCCACTTGTAGGAGTCACAAAGAAAACAGTCAGCAGGAGCGCAAGGTACAGCCTTTCAGCATCAAAGGCTGCAGTGTAGACTCACCTCTGTGTTCCTGTCCGATCGATGACACATCTAGGGTAGCAGGAAATGGATGGTTTCCGTGCAGGTAGGGATGGTGATCCTGTGTGACCTAGAGCAGACAGACAAGGTGAGGAGGAGTGTGGACATCAACCTACATTTTTTCCTTTTTACTTCAAGGGCTGTGGAGCCAGTGAAGTGTTTGTTCAGTACTGACAGAGAGAGAGCCTCTTGTGCAAACGTGTTATAATCAAACGTTTCACAATGGCAGCTCGCAGGCGCAGAGCAGGACTGACAGGAATTTAGTCTCTTGCATTATCTGTGATGGTACAGGGGGCCTTTCAATCGTATCCTTATTTACCACTGCATTATCTGTGATGGTACAGGAGGCCTTTTGATCATAACCTTATTTATCACCGCATTATCTGTGATGGTACAGGCGGCCTTTCAATCGTATCCTTATTTACCACCGCATTATCTGTGATGGTACAGGAGGCCTTTTGATCATAACCTTATTTATCACTGCATTATCTGTGATGGTACAGGGGGCCTTTCAATCGTATCCTTATTTACCACTGCATTATTTGTGATGGTACAGGAGGCCTTTTGATCATAACCTTATTTATCACTGCATTATCTGTGATGGTACAGGGGGCCTTTTGATCATTTCCTTTATTTACCACTGCATTATCTGTGATGGTACAGGGGGCCTTTTGA